TACATTTCATTCCACTTCACGATTGTGTCCCACTTGTTGTTTATTCTTGACAAAAAAATATTTTTATATCTTTATGTTTGAAGCCTGAAATGTGGCGAAATGTTGAAAGGTTCAAGGGGGCTGAATACTTTATTTATTGCACTTGAACACGCATATCCAAACTAAGGCCCGCGGACCGATTGCGGCCTTCTGTGCCATTATATGTGACCCTTCTGCTGCTTGCGCAAATTTGCCATTGAGGCACTTGGACAATGTCATCCAACCGATTCCAGCCTCACCAATAGTCATGCTATACTTTGTTGTAATTATCATAACCCATTTTAAATTCCAGAATCCAGTCAATCCAGCTCAAATCCAATTTTTTAAATCCAGATTGTCGTCCCCAGGTCAAGTCTGATGAATTTAAGTGGCCCTCTTGCTAAAAAGTTTGGACACCCCATGCACCAGAATTTGCAGCATTTTATACTTGCTTCTTTATAATGCTAAAGTTAGAGATTTTACGCTTTATTCTTGCTTCTATATGATGCTAATGTTTGTGATTTTATTTTATTTGAATATATAGTTATTGTTCACTTTTCTTGTGGTCTGCGCTCCTCATTCCTTCTGTTCTGTAGCTTCATCTCATTAAATGGACATTGGATACTGAAAATAGACATGTATTTTTCTGATGTGTTACAGCCCACAGCCAATAAATCCTTTTGTGGATCACTGTTGTTTCTCCTTCGGCGTCTCTGTTTGTGTGTGTTTGCAGTGCTATGGATACCACACTCGTGAGTCCTACGCTCCGATTGGCTAGTAGTTTACCACCGGGAGCTAATTGGCCGCGGTGCTTGGGTGTTGATTGGGCAGAAGCTGAGGAAGTCCTCCAACCGTGCGCGTTCACCTGGAGGGGCCGCCCATGTATCCTGATGTTCCTCGGAGGCAGCTTGTCAGTAGGATCCAGTTCACCGTTTGTGTCTCTGTTCTGTCACTTGTGTCGCTTTTTGTTTAGTGACTCGTTTTGCAGTTTTTTTGAGAAACTTTTGTTTAGTTTAAAAAACCTTTGTTTATGTGTACTTTGTTTGCATTTGGATTTGTTTTACAATATACTTCCTTTCGTTCGGTTAATTGCATATTTTGTTTTAAAGGTTATTTATTATTTTGTGTTTAATGTATTACTATAATTGACATTTACAAACATTAGGATTTTAGTCACCATGTAACTGCATTGTATCCCACTGATGAGCCCGGTCAAAAGTCATAACACATGAAGTGCTATTTGCACAATGTACTATGTTTATAACACATGTTTATGTTTTGTGTGTGGTTTTAATGCCAGGGACAGATGGACTCAAGAAAGTTCTATATAGTTTATCACATTTGTTTTACAGAAGAAATGTATATTTCATTGGTGTTGGCCATTGAAAACTATACTGAGGACATATGCGTTATCATTTAGTGTTTTCATGTACAGTCGGTGTGTGATGTAAGCAATGCAGCAAGCCCCGGATCTCCAAGATCTCTGCCCATTCTAATCAAGAACCTGTGCTCATTGGCAAATATGGACGCCCACCTTGTTCCAAACATTAGCGAAAGTGATGCATTTTTGCCAGTAGGCCAGTAACGCATTCTGAGCAGTCAGTGCTGACCATGGTCGGCAGCACTCGTCATGTTGCACTCATGCTCGTGCACAGAGGGACACGTGTTCTGACCAATCAGGGCGCAGCTGATCGGATCTGATCTAGAGCGGGACAAGAGCGAGCCAAGTTTGTTTCACAAGACTGTGGATTTATAGAAAATCGATAGATTTTTTTTGGTATTCAGGATGTCAAGGGAAATCCTCACAAAATCCGACCTTTGTACCTTTTTGTAAGATGTAGTTAACATAGAGGTCTGTGGGGAAATCTAGGATTTAGCGCGTGCGTAAATCAATGTTAGAGGTTTAGCTTGTCCTTGTATGTGCTTTTTTATTGTATCCAGTTGGTTTCTGCCAACTTATCATTTGCATTTTTTGCTTTGATAGCGTGTCTTTCTGCTCCTACACCCGTGTGGAGCTTCTGAATATCAGCAGCAGCACCCCCATGGACCTACTGCCTATTTTCTTGGAAGCTGCATGTCTACAGCTGATTTGGTTCATGTTTTAGCCAAAAAAGTGATATGAGAAATAATAATTGACCAGAGTTTACAGAGTTTTGGCTGCTCATCCTGCCATCCCTGCTCCAGCTCAATGTGCCTGATTCCACCTGCAGCTGGATCACTGACTTCCTGATGAAATAGAACCACTGTGTGCTTCTGGGGAAGAATGACTCAGAGTTTCTGATTAAAAATACAGGAGCTCCCCTGCTCTTCTCCCTGTACACCAACCTCCAGCCACGACCATGTTAAGCTCATCAAGTTCGCGGGCGACACCACCCTCATTGGACTCATCTCCAACAACAATGAGGTCCTGGTGCAGTGGTAACAACCTGGTGCTGAAAACCTAGAAGACAGTGGAGATGATTGTAGACTTCAGGAAGAGCACAGACACTTAAGCTCTGGGAACACCAGGTGCCACAATGGGGCGGCTGTAAAGTGAAAAAACTGCTGTTGTGTTATTAGGCAAGACACTTCACCCACATTGCCTTGAATGAGTCTGTTGTGTGTGTGAATGGCTGGTGGTGGTCGGAGGGGCACATACTGGTTGCATCGCTACTACTGTGACAGTAGTAGTTTATCCCCACTGTGAATGGAGTGAATGAATCCTTACGTGTGAAGCTTCTTTGAGTGTCCAAAAAAGCGTTACTCTGCTGTTGAACTTCTGAACTCTTCATAACATTGTCCCCCGCCCTTTATAAAGTCACTTTACTGCCGTCACTGCACTGCTTAATGTCTATTGTGTGTACCGAGTGCACTTGTATTTAGTAATAATTGTAATCATTAAAACAATTATATTTTAGAAAATGATATAATATTCAATTCTTTACTTTTGACTTGTTTGCACTGAGAGCCAAAGCAATTTCCAAGTCTGTGTGACTCCCTGTTACTTACATGATAATTAAAATGTTTCTTATTCTGATTAACATCGAGCTGGGTCGTAACACGTCCATGTGAAGACGGGTTTAGGCAGAACAGCCCATCCAGATATCATAATACATTCATGGTGTGTTTCAGGTCACAAAGCGTCCCATTTAAAAGGTGACTTCTTCACTATCTGAGGCCTCTATGACAGCTTGGTTGCCTGTAAAAGACAGAGATACAGCAAAAGCTTTCATCAGTGTTGTGTATGTTGACAAGTCAAACAAAAACCTAATGTTCTTTGTTCCTAATGAAAGGCTCAAAGTGCCGTCAAGTGAAACAAAGTCATTAACTGTAAATGCAGACATCAGCTTATACATCCACACTTTTATGCCGGTGCTTATTCTGCAGAACAACCTTGGGGCAAATAAACTTTACCTTTGCAGTCTTGAGCAGCTGCTGTATTGTCTCGAATTTCTTTTGTGAGCCGTTAGTGACTGCTCCCTGTAAACAAGTGCGGTACATGAGGCCACTATTTCAGAGGACAAGAGCTGGTTCGTCATCGGCTTCAGTCGTCCTGTACAATTCAGACTTACTCATCTCAATGCTCCTCACTCTCCAGTTTCTTTTTGTGATCTCCCAAAACTCGAGGCTACATTTGAAAAGCCTTTGTTAAGAGCATATTTGACAATGTAAAAATAATAAGCTTTCTCTTGACAAAACCCTACAATTTTATCCAACTGTACAAAACAGATTTCATGTGAGAATAAACTGCACGAACCAATGTGTGGGAGAATCCAAGTCAAGGAAATGAAAACAACAGAGTAAATGTGTTTCCCTCACAGCAGCAGCACTTTAACAAATAAAAGCATAGGAGGTTGTTCAAGCTACATTCTGATTGTTTTGAATTCATGTATTTTTTCCTTTTTTTTGAGTCGTTCCTTGTCGTTACAGGAGGGTCTAAGGACAATGATAATACAAGAATATGGGGCGACAGTAGCTCAGTTGGTAGAGCATTTGGCCTTTGGGCCTTAAGGTCGTGGGTTCAAGCCAGTGGGGACGGGTCTCAAAAGTGGCCAAAATGATGTGCGCTGACATGCTTGCAATACCACCCCGGGCCAACAGGGGTGGACCCGGAATAAGAATTAGACCTCTCGAAAACGTCTTTTCAGGATGGTCCAAAAGTTGGCTTTTGTCCAAATAAAGGGGTAGAAAATGAATGAATATACTGGAATTTTCATATTTAAAGATTAGCTCTTCTTAGTGATTTTAAATATACAGTAGTTGAGGATATGTGTGTGGGTGTGTGTGAATTTGTGTATATGTGTGTTTTTGCCTGTGTCGGTTAGTGAGTGTGTGTGTGTGTGTCAGTGTGTATGTTTATGTATGTGGATGTGTGTTTACTGTATATGCTCCCATGCATTTATATTTTGTCACTATTTTGAAGGCCATATCGTCCATGTAAGGACTTCATTCTTTGAGACTTTCCTCCACAGAGTTTATGCGTGGGTATGTTTGTGTGTGTGCGTGGGTATGTCTGCATGTGTGTTTTGTCACCGTTTTGATGGCCATATTGTCCATGTAAGATGTAAGAACTTCATTCTTTGAGACTTTCTTCCGGAGAGGCGTGAAAAAACAGCAGCTATGACCTCGGTCCTCATCCTACAGCTGACTTAACTTTATCCAATTCATGTATCCAACCAAGACACAGGCCCTGAATATATGCCACTACAACTCATTTAAACATATGTTTTTCTGTCACTGCGGAATGACCCTTCTTCTCAAAAGCATCAACAATGGAATATCATTATGTCATATATACAGTATATAGCAGACATTATATATTTTCCTCTTGGTGATTCAGCCTGCTGGTCTGTTTGTGCTGGTGCCTATCTTTAGATGACAGATTACAGCGTCAAAGGCTTTTTATCATCCCTCTTATCTCTGACAAGTGCAGCAGGACCCTTCTCCAGAGAATAAAATATATGTGCCATTAAATCCTATACACTTGCTCACAATAGTCAAGCATGGGAGACACAGTTCCAGCGTATGTAAGGAGAGACATGGGAGTTTGCAATAGGAGCCTGTTTTGCCCATCTGAATGTTCGCCAGAGATATCCAGATCAAAATCAAGCTGGGTTGCCACAGTAACGGATGGGTTAGCAAACAAAGCAAAGAACACATTCATGGAGACGGTAAAACATTTTGAGACAACCAGACCAAAAGAGCTTTTATGAACATTTACAGACATCATCCCGCCAACCCTAAATACCAACTCCATTTTATTCGGAAAGGCATAATTCACAACCGCAGTCGTCTCAAAGGACTTTACAAGATTGTGGATGTGCCGACAACAGATTAAACAGTGGACCCAAAATGTTTTAAGGCCAATGATTTATTGCAAGAATAAATGAAAGTCCAAGGTAAAAAAACAAACTCAAAAATCAAACCTGGAACAGAACAGATAGGACCAGCAACAAATGGGGAGAGGACATTGTACATTTAGAGCTAAAGAGACAAAAGGACGAGAAGAAAAACTAAAATTTAACCACAAAAGAACTAATGTCGAATTAAAGTAGCAATATGTAAGATTTTCATGTCAAGTCATCATCAAATGGCCCTAATCTGTCAAAAGGCAATAATAAACCCCACTCTTTTCCAATATTTTATTAACAGATAATAGTAGTTCAGCTGAGATATTCAAATTTCCAAATTTGTTTTACAGCCCTTTTTTTAAATCTTGTTATTGTTTTCATTTCGACGTCCCGCCCTCCACCGTTTAACCAATCAGAAAAGTCCGTGATCCGGGTTGCCAGATCTCACCGTGTTCAGCTAATCTCACTGGTAAAGTAACATTTGGCCCCAGAACTTAAAAAAAAGGTCTCGTAATGATTCTCAATACAAGGAATAAAACGAGGACTTCTATCTTTGTAAAAAAAAAAGTGTTGGTTATAGATTTGTTTGTTGTTGAAAAGTCTTGCTTATTCAGACATCATGGTCCCAACTGGATTTGTCTGCATATCTTGCACTCTCCCTGACTAACCTGAGTTAGTCAGGGAGAGTGGGAGCGGTTGCAGTATCACTTTTGGCCAGATTTTTACATACTGCCCCTTTAAGTACCAAATAACAAATATCTACACCATGACAGGAGTAGTAATACTTTTTGCAAATTTGCTGTGTGTGCAAAAGAGTACAAACAGTAAAAAAAAAAAGTAAACAGGATACAAAAAACTCCAATACACAGGATGAAAAGGGGTCGGATGAAGCAGACATGTACTTGGCTCTAACCCCTCACACTCATACAACATTTTGGCACATTTTGTTTCCTCTTAGTAATTATGGTGAGCTCCCTTGGACAGACCAGATCCAAGACTGACACTGTATATTCAGGACTGAGCCAGTAAATTCAGGCACAATGACAGTTTGGTATACTTTACAGCCGCTGCCGCCCCACTGTGGCACATGGTTTTCCCCCAGGTCTCCCATCACAGTACTAACCAGACCCTGCCCTGCTCAGCTTCAGGTCTGACAGGATCACAGTATACGGCAAACGCTCAATCTCAGAAAAACCCTCTGAGACGATCGTTTTTTGGATTTAGGGTCATAAGAAAATAAATTGATTTGAGAGTGTATTTTGAAGTTTTTGTAAGTAGTTTTTGTGAGTAATTCGCATCCGACGAGGCGACAATATGTACCAAACTGTTGGAATATATGCACAATTATAAATCATGAGCGAAAGAAAATTAAATCACATGCATGACCTGTTTACAGCTGCAGAGAAGAGACTGTAAATTAGTCCCAGAGACTTATCAAGAAGTAGTTGAAGCATCCAGACAAATAGGAAGGTGTCGTATATCAGAATGCACTGCAGCCCGTCACTCCAGCCAGCACAAGCAGATTCATTTCACACCGGATTTACTGCGGCCATTTCTCACTAAAGGGGTGAGCCGGGGAAATTCATTCTAAACCAAGACGTATATTTATAAATGAAGACGTTGGACAGGGACGTAAAGCATAATTTAGTACATGAGGAGCAATTTTATGTGATAATAGTTTTGCCTTCTTGTTTTAGTGGGTGTTAGTATTAGATAGCAATATGGCCTACGTGCAGGACTCTACAAGGACTCTGATTATTTTGACTCTGATGTGACTGTCTCTGTGTATGTCTTTCGATGTGTGACGTGACAATGACTATATAAACTGTGTACTGCCTTTATTCTGTCTGAGAGAAGGAAACAATTGAAACCACTGGAACTTGAGAGAAACTTAAATAAACTTCCAGAGTTTGGCGCACCACGATCCGTCTCTGTCTGCTTCATCCCTGACATGGGGAGTGATGAATGTTTGAGTAATTTTTATTCTTCTGTGTTCGAGTTGTCATCGCCCTGAAGAATCTTTTGTCACATGTCCTATACCTGACTGATACATGGTCATGAGCTTTGGGGACGACGAAAGGTTAAGACTGCAATAAAAGCAGCCCAAAGAACACTTTCATATAGAGAGAGCTCAAAGAGAGCGCTTTACAACTATGGTCTGTGAAAGGTGCTATATAAATAAAAATCACTTACTTAATCTTACTTTTGTGGTACATTTTTCACTTCTCAGCCAGTTTGATTCGACTCCCAGACGAGACCTGTCTGAATGGAGTTTGCATGTAGAGGTAGCACATCACTACATCAAGAGCCAACGATGACAGCCAAGAGTCTGTACATAAAGCACACATGAGTGTTAAAAAAGTAAATCAAAGAAAGATTACAGGAAACGCAGAGATATAGTCAGCGCTGAGAAAGGACCCACCAGAGGACCGCCACCAGAGGACCGCCACCTGGGGACCACCACCAGAGGACCGCCACCTGGGGACCGCCACCAGAGGACCGCCACCTGGGGACTGCCACCAGAGGACCGCCACCTGGGGACCGCCACCAGAGGACCGCCACCTGGGGACCGCCACCAGAGGACCGCCACCTGGGGACTGCCACCAGAGGACCGCCACCTGGGGACCGCCACCAGAGGACCACCACCAGAGGACCACCACCAGAGGACTGCCACCTGGGGACCGCCACCTGGGGACCGCCACCAGAGGACCGCCACCTGGGGACCGCCACCAGAGGACCGCCTCCAGAGGACCGCCACCAGAGGACCGCCACCTGGGGACCGCCACCAGAGGACCGCCACCAGAGGACCGCCACCAGAGGACCGCCACCTGGGGACCGCCACCAGAGGACCGCCACCAGAGGACCGCCACCAGAGGACTGCCACCAGAGGACACTTTGAAGGAGACTGTTTGTTTTTATTCTATACAATTATTTTTGTCTAGCGATAAATCACAGAATAATTAGTCTCCAAATGCAGTGGATGACTTGCCCTACGGGGATAAATAAAGTGCGCATTTACCTTTACTTTACACAGATGAACTGAGGCTTTAGATCCAGGAATGAGGCTGTAGATCCAGGACTGAGGCTGTAGATCCAGGTCTGAGACTGCAGATCTAGGACTGAGGCTGTAGATCCAGAACTCAGGCTGTAGATCCAGGACTGAGGCTGCAGATCCAGGACTGAGGCTGTAGATCCAGGTCTGAGACTGCAGATCTAGGACTGAGGCTGTAGATCCAGAACTCAGGCTGTAGATCCAGGACTGAGGCTGTAGATCCAGGACTGAGGCTGTAGATCCAGGACTGAGGCTTTAGATCCAGGACTGAGGCTGTAGATCCAGGTCTGAGACTGCAGATCTAGGACTGAGGCTGTAGATCCAGAACTCAGGCTGTAGATCCAGGACTGAGGCTGTAGATCCAGGACTGAGGCTGTAGATCCAGGACTGAGGCTTTAGATCCAGGACTGAGGCTGTAGATCCAGGACTGAGGCTGTAGATCCAGGACTGAGACTGTAGATCCAGGACTGAGGCTTTAGATCCAGGACTGAGGCTGTAGATCCAGGACAGAGGCTGTAGACCCAGGACTGAGGCTGTGCTGTGCAGGACTGAAGAGGTTCTCAGGTGGGGAGGAGGTGCATGATTATCATGTGTCTGAATTTTGATGAAGTTATTGTGTCTTCTCCCATGGGCTGGACTTCCTCTGGGCCTGAGCATCTGTGAGTGTCACAGGGCTCAGCATGGGTCTACATCACACAAACATGTCAGCATCTAATTACCCTCCACACAGTACATACACACAGTACATACACGCCACACACCGGCTTTGAACGAAAGGATGTCCTTGTGCTGGAGACGAAGGGAAGAATAATCAGTTTGTCTCAGTGGATAGTAAGGAAACGTCAGAATTAGTTATACCAGATCCTACGGATCAACATAAACCCCAATAAAGACTCTGTAAAATGCATGAGCTGCACTCACAGTTGTGTGTTGCATACTGTATTTCAGGGTCATTGGACGGACATTTTTCCCCAACAAGCTCATTCGGAGATTTCAAGACGATTTTGATGAATGAGATTACCGATAGGAATCTTAAACTATCCGATTAAAATGTTTGTGAAATTAAACCACTTTTCACATCATTAATGTGTATGTTGTTTGTGTAATTGTAGTATAATATACTGAAAAATCAAGGAGTGTGATTTTTCCTCTCAACTAAGTCAGAGGAACCAACAGCACAGACTAGTTGCCTTGCTTCTGTCAGTCTGCCTCAGGGCTGGCAACACTGTCCATATCTCCAGCCTCCTGCTTATTCTGGCTTGTCCTCTTTGTACATTAAACAATGAGACCTTAGTCTCAGCCCATTGGAGCCGCTGGGAGCAGGACTGTGCAGAGTTCACCGAGCCGAGAGCTTCAAGATGCTGTGTCCAACTTTCAAACCATAAAATTATGACCAGGCCGTAAAATCAATAGCTCTCAAAAAAGCTTGCTTCGATCACTAGTTTTCGTGCATGCACCGTATCTTTTTGGCCTCTGTCGCTTCTTTGGATCAGCTTTTTCAGACAAAACAAGAGGGGATCGCACTCAGCTCTCATACCAAAGTGTCAAAAAGTGACTCACAGGGCTCATTCGTTTGCAAAAGATAAAGAATGTCCCAATAGGCCTTAGTCAGCTAGGGCAGCTGTGACTAGCAGTAGTTCATCACTACCATGAATGAATAATGCTGTCTTTGAGTGTCCAAAAAAGCGCTAAACAAAACCAGTGCATTATTCATTATTATGTACAGTGTCGGTGAAACACTGTGATTTTGCATAATAAATGAGCAAACCAGAAGTCTGTCTGAGAAGGTAACTTTAAAGTGACGTTGAAATCTATTTTTAGTAACAGGCTATAAGGGTATTATTAGTGGAAAGTGTATCAGTCAGCTCCTGCATATTCCCATCTGGTGACTAAACAACCAGTGGATGGAGTTCCTCATAATGCCAACAGTCACATATAGAGATAGATGTTAAAGTCCCAATATTTCATTGTATCCTTAAAAATGGTGTCTGCCATGGCCCCGTCTCCATAGATACATTCTTGATTTGATTTGTTTGGGAGGAAAGCCAAGCTCTTTGTAAACACAGAATTCATTTTCTGCTATCTCTAAAGGACGTGTGCCGTGTCACACAAACACACACCTCCCCATTCAGCCGCGGCACACAGGAAATGAAGTGGCCATATCTGCCTGTAATAACGGAGCATTGTGGTGCAGCCGGCGCGTCGACAGAGATGGAAACGGTGTGATTTAGAGAGGAGCACCACTCTGGGCCTGATCAATAGCCAGCACTGGACACGAGCTGCCCCACGAAGGCCGCGCTGTCAGCAGGCCAGGCCCCTCCAGAGATGTGATTACAGCCGCTGCTGACGCGAGCCAAAGACAGACGAGCTCCGGTTAGAGCTACTGTCCAGCAAAGACTTTTATTAAAGAGTGGGAAGAGAGGGCTCCACCGAGGGATCCACGGTCAACAGACACATGTACAATATCTCACTGCTTTTAGACTAGAACTGTTCAACTCGTGGCCAGGGAGCCAAATCAGGCCTGACCAGTCATCCCACGGACCATCTAAACGTGATAACACAATCTTATGTTGCTTTAGCTTTGAGTTAATAATGATAATGATGATAATGCATTGTTTGCAAGACCTACTTCACGACTCCCACTGTTGACTGCTGTCGTTGTGTACTTGGGCAAGACACTTAACCCCACTTTGCCTGAAGCCCCCGCTGAAAGATCGAGGCTCCTGTGGACTCACCACCTGCAGGAGGATCAGTGAGGGGCTGGTGCTCTGTGTACTGGGTGCAGCTCTGCCCTGCCCTGAACAGCTTCAGAGATCTGATGTTTATGAGTACAAAAATGAGTATGTGTATGACTTTTAAATAAGGAATTTAATTTTGGGTTGCTATCAATCCATGTGGTTAGTATTATTGACTCATTTTGAACAATTCCAAATGAATTGTTTTGTATTCAAAAGGATTGCAATTACACTATGGTGAAGGTGATGTCTGCAACTTCAACTGAATTTCATTTTTTTAAAGAATGCATATTTTTTGTACCTTATGACGGCATATTTAATACAGTCCCTCTCCATGGCATAACCACTAGGGGTGGGAACCTAAGGGTACCTCACAATACGATACGATACGCGATACAAAGCTCACAATAACGATTATATCACAATGACGATTATATCACGATATGATGATTATTGATATATTGGTCAGCAATATACCATCTGCTAATATATGGCATACATAAAATAGAAAAAAGCCAAGTGAAAAAATACACTTTATTTCATGATAAATGGAATGGAGATGTGTAATGTAGCCATATATTAAGTACATTTTTTTTTTTTTCTCAAAATTGATACTTGGCAAATGCATATCGATAATCGATCGCGGGAGAAAGTATCGCGATATATCGACATGCTCCTAATAACCACCACCAGCAATGTTTGCTGAAGGAGAATAGTTTGAGTTTGAGGATGGGCAGGTCTAACCAGTGCTTGCTTGGGGAAAAAAACATCACTCTCAAATAATGGACATTCACTTTCATTTGAATGGCCCTGCTCTGGGCCAAATAGTCAAAGTTTTGTTTGAGTTCTTCTGTCCTCTCGTCTGTCATTGTCTGTGATGGGAGACCTCTGGGAACAGCAGGTGCCACAGCGGGGCAGCTGCGGCTGTAAAGTGCCAAACTGTTGTTGAGTCCTTAGGCAGGATACTTCACCCACATCGCCAAGTGTGTGTGTGTGTGTGTGTGTGTGTGTGTGTGGCACGTGAAGCATCTTTGAGTGTCCAGAAAGCGCTACATAAAACCGATGCATTATTATTATTATTATTATCAAATATGTTATTAACACAGTTGAAAACAAAACACTGCTAGAGGCTTTTTACTCAAAGAAAAAAGTGACATCAGAGGTATGTTGAAGTGTAGGTGGCAGACATAGATCCATGGTGGCAGAGCACATGGTGTGTCTTCAGTGCAGGGATAAAGCTCACATGGTGACTGGTGCATTTCAGAACATGATCCACAAACACACAGGTACAATGCTGCCCTCATAAGGACAAGCAGCTGAGGTACACCACCCCACACACCATTAAAGAAAGAAATAGGATGTAGTATTTTTGGCATTTAAACTTGATACTTATTCACCTTGTCCTTTTATGGTTTGGATTGTGAAATAAAATATTTTGTAGACTTTATGGTGAATTGAGTATGAAGGGTGAAACAACTGCTATCCACCTGTAGCTCACAACTCTGCAGAGGAACGAGTTAAATTAATTGTGCTGTATCTATTTTTATTTTTCCAAATTTGAGTGTTACTGGCTCAAAGCGTCGCCTCTTCAGTGACTGTAAAGAATTATCAGATCACTTCATAAATGTAGGAATCCTGCTTGTTTTTCACTGGCAGAAAACTGTGAGTGTGATGTCATAGTGATACAACGACTCCTGCTATTACAGAAAGTTTTTTTTATTTACATTTGACTTTTTACAAGGCAGGGTGAAACATTGCCACACTGCCTTCCTCTGGTCCACACACACACAAGTACAGCTTGAATGTTTCTTGCGCGCCCGACTCCAGAGCATTGCGCACAGGGAGGAGGAGGAGAAGGAGGAGAGGAGGGTCGCTTTGTGATGGAGCAGCAGCAGCCGCAGCAGCAGCAGCAGCCTCCCCGCGTCTGCTGAGTGGAGCCGCGCTGTGTCCACGGGGCAGAGCCAGCGCTGAGACCGGGGTTGGGTGACATGTGCCGCGGCCGCTCGGATAGCCCGCAGTCTCGCTGGTCACATGGTGCGTGTCTGGTGATGAGCGCGGAGCCTGTGTGAGTGTGGAAGCCTGCACCAGGACCTGGGGATTCCCGCCTCAGCATGCCCCACAAAAGCAAGAAGGACAAGGTAAACTTCTCCCTGACACTCCTTCACTCATGGTACAGTGGGCTCTATTCCTTACACTAGTTGTTTTTTGTTTGATAAAGTTTACGATTTTTATTTATTTATTAATTTTGATTTTTTTGTATCCTTTCTTTTTTGTGTTTCTTTAGGAATCCTCCAAGTCTGAAAGGACGAAGAAGTCGGACAAGAATGGCTCCACAGACCAAGATGTGAGTAGGTTTTTATAGTGTGCATATCTTTAAACAAAAAGGCAAAACATATGGACATAGCGCGGTAATAAAGGATTATCTTTTATTATCAAGTAGTTGGATTATTGATTCGATTATCCGTTCGATTAACCGATTAGTGGTTTGGATCAGGAAAGGCTTGAAAACGTGGGATTTTTAAACAGATTTCACAAAAAACCACGCTACAATTACTGCTCTATGGGGGTTCTAAAATGCGGTAAGCTGGTTGCACTTAACCTTTTTTTCATAGATACATTTATGTTGTTTAAGCAACATTTAGTGAACAATTCAGCACCTCGTTTTTTCTTTATCTTATGAGAAAACTTTTACATACTGAGAGCTGATTGGCTGAGTGAGGGTGTGTCCTCAATTTTCTGTCTGAAAAAGCTTCGGATGTAACAGAGGCCAAAAACATATTAAACTGAAAACTTGTGATAAAAGCAAGTTGTTTTGAGAGTGAAGGACTACGTGAATTTAGATTTACAAAAAAAAAATTTCTTTAAATCTCTGTTATTTAAAATGCAATTAATTGATTACATACATTGGTTGACAACTATTTACATAATTGATAAGTTGTGATTAAAAGATACAAAAACTGTGGAATATTTGTGCCACTTACATGTAACAAAAGTGTGGTCATTGTAATAACATATATTCGATTATCGTCCTGACAACAAATACAGATTATTAAATAAAACATGAACTAGCTCTTGGTTGTTGCCTTTGTTCAATATCAGCATTAAGGCTGGTCTGATATACAACACTTAACTTTTGAAGCACTTCAAACTTTAAGAGATCCTTTATTCATCCCACAGTGGGGAAATTTCAGTGTTGCATCACCAGTTACACAACACAGCACATGATAATTTACATGAACACAGCTCTATACTAAATAACTCTGTACTAAACTCGGAAATAGGAAGCAGTCTATGATATATAATAATAAGCAAGAATTAAGTTGAAAATCTCTCTCTTTAGCATAAATCCTGTATATTCTAGTGTAGAAATACAGATAGTTGTGTGTATACATCTGTACTTGTTAGCAGCATGAGGGTCTGGGACAAAGACAGTCACACATGTGGTTCTATATTGCACATTCTGACATTATAAAAGTTATTATTGTACAGATGAGTACAGTAAAGGAAAGGGCCAGTGGACAAATGTGGTTTCATGTTACACATACTGACATTATTTCAAGACATGTGAGATCGACTGTGTTCGTTAGTCCTCATTGTTCATTATACAGTCTGTCAATGGACGTACAGTCTTTTTGAACAGCTAATTAGAGGTAATTAGTGTATAATTTCAAGGTAATTAGCTCTGAATTGAGTCGTCCTTCTACATGGCCTTACACAACATCTGAATAACTACTAACTAACACTTCCCCATGTGGGTTAGGGTTAGGGCTAAGGTTAGGGTTAAAGTGCACCTATTAGCACATCATGAACTGTGACTTAGTGAGGGCTAACCTAAGGTGTTATCGACTCGTTATGGTGGTGGCAAACAACATTTCTTTGGGGAAAGTTACCCCAGTTTTAATGAGTACATGTGTTGTGAAGCTGTGTCCTAGCTCACCTTTGCTCACCAAACTAGGTCGAACTCAGCAGATGCATCCAGCAGGTACTGTATCTATATTTATCAGTCACCGACATGACCGTTTCTCCACAGACAGTTTTCTTTTGTACTTTAAATTCAGGGACTTTCTCATGTGACTGTCCGACCACGATCTTATGATGTTGTTTTTGTGCATAAAGACCGCTCCTGCGTTTGCCGCTGTGCCGAGTCTGGGTTTGGGAGAATAATGTGAGGCTTTGTCTGAGCTGTTTGTGTGTGGTCCTAATTTTAACTAAGTCATCAAGTTTGTAGAATCATAGAAATGAATGTTTGCTACTTTGTGCTTAATCAAAAACAGACCTTGAGTTGTTGTATTTTTTAGATCCATCCTCTCTCAGTTCAGTAGAAGTTTTGGCTGAAGTATGTCACTCTTCTGTCTAAAGCCTGGTTCACACGAGACAATTTTAAAATTGTCGGCCGATTTTTCTCCGTGTTAGACTCCACATGGGGAGATTAAAAATCCTGCGTCTAACCACTTTGGTCGTGCAGTGTGTGGTGCGTAGCCACACGGCAAGATCACGCAAGCCACAAACATCACACACGAACCGACACCCCCCCCCCCCCCCCCCCCCGAGCATTCCCAGGTCAGACGGAAATCTCACAAAATCTCTCGAGATCAAGCGTGACTTCAGAGTAAACAGACGACGGACGAAGAGGATGCAGTGGCGATAGTGTGCAGTTTGTTGTTAACAGAGAAGAGACGTAATCCAAAGAAAAGGCAATGGTCAAAGCCATGCTGCTGTGTTTTGGTTTTTTTCCGGTGTTTCTGTCACGAGGTGGGAAGGAGGAGGACTCAAAATGCGAGAATGCCAAAATAAAGATTTAATAAAATAGAAGTCCAAGGTAAAAACAAAACTCAAAATCCAAAATACGGAACCAGGAGCACAAAATCAGGAACAGGACGGAACAGAAGTAGACAATACAATGGACCAGCAACAAGAGGAGAGGAGCACAGGGTAATTATAGACAGAGACACAGGTGAAACACATTAGGGCAGGGTAGACAATCAAGACAGGGGAAACAGGACGTCAAAGTCAAACTTAAAACCAAAGCACAGAGAACAGATATCAAAATAAAGCTAAAGTCCAAAATAAAATCCACACCATGACAGTACCCCCCCTCCAAGGGACAGCTCCCAGATGTCCCAAGAACAAAAGCGAGGCAGGGAGGGCGGAGGGGGTCTGGAGGACAGGCCAGGGGCAGTTCAGAGGCCAGAACATGCAGGGGCAGGAGCTGAAGCCCAGTGGTGACCTTCCACACGGAACTGGCTCACCCCGGGCGGAGACAAATGCCCGGCGGTGACGACAGACGGGAACAAAACCACCCCAGACGGAACTCATGTCTGGCGGTGGCAACAGGCGAAGGGAAGGAGAGGTCATCAAAGGGTATCAGGCGGACACAGGTGGGGAAATCCAGGCAGACGGGAACAATCATGCCAGGGCTCCACTGGGTACCTCTCTCGTGGGACAGGGGGAGGAAACGGGACCACCCCGGACGGAGATCAATGCCCGGCGGTGGTGCATGGACAAAAAACCACCCCAGACGGAATTCTTGCCTGGCGGTGGCTCGAGGTAGCAGGTAGAGGCAGGCAGTGGAGATTGCAGAGAAAAAAAAAACAAATAGACACCTGGTGGCAAACTGGGAGCAGGTGTGGGTGGAAAAAATAAAGCATTCCGCAGAGTCCGAATGTGGCTGGTCCATTCTGTCACGAGGTGGGAAGGAGGAGGACTCAAAATGCGAGAATGCCAAAATAAAGATTTAATAAAATAGAAGTCCAAGGTAAAAACAAAACTCAAAATCCAAAATACGGAACCAGGAGCACAAAATCAGGAACAGGACGGAACAGAAGTAGACAATACAATGGACCAGCAACAAGAGGAGAGGAGCACAGGGTAATTATAGACAGAGACACAGGTGAAACACATTAGGGCAGGGTAGACAATCAAGACAGGGGAAACAGGACGTCAAAGTCAAACTTAAAACCAAAGCACAGAGAACAGATATCAAAATAAAGCTAAAGTCCAAAATAAAATCCACACCATGACAGTTTCCTCACCGGCTTGTCACCTCGTCTTCTTGTTGGCTACACGCCGTAGTCATGGCAACGCGCTCGCTTGTCCTCGGAGGACACCACACACGACAAGAAATCGGGCCAAAACAATCCAACATGTTGGATATCCCCGATTTGAGATCGGGAGCAGTCCCGATGTCCTTCCGAGCGACGAGTGCAGTCTTAACACACCACACACGGCAGGATAATCTGTAAGATTTTGTTACGGAAATCGGAGCGTTTCTTAAGATTGTCGTAAGGGGTAAATCGGGTCTAAATCGGCCTAAATATCCTGCCGTGTGAACCAGGCTTAAAGCTCTGGTCTCATGCAGAAGTTCAATTAAATGTATTTAATTGAATTTAATAATAGTGATTTTGGAAGACTTTACCATCGACTCGCTAACACGGAACAGGAAATGCAATGATGAAAAAAACACACAAAACCATTGGTCCATAAATGTTGATGAAGTCCATAAATATCGTTGAATGTCCTGGATTATAACACTATCTCGGTGTTCCAACTTCTTACTTGGAAAAATGGGAATGAACACTGCTCAAATTAACCTCTGAAACTTGGATTGAAACTTGAAGTAGGTATTCAGTGTTTGCAGCGTGGAAACCAGTGAACGCATCTCTTACCTGTTTTCTTGTCGAGCAATGAGCAGCTTGATGAGGTTATGGTTTTGCATTCCCTAAAAATTGAACACATTTATCAACATAAGATATGTAAAGACTCAACTATTTGTGTTTTTATTGAGCACTAAATACAGAAATGTGTTAATGTTGAGGGGTCTTGTGTGCCCTGCTTGGTAAGAATGAAAGCCACACAGCGCTTTCTCGAGTTTGACACCCCTAGTTTAACTGGCACTGGGCCATTGTTCGTCACTCCCAAAAGGCCGTAGAGTAGAAGGAGTGGAGTGACCAGGTGCTGATGTCACCCTTTGTGTTTCCCTTATTTTCAGAAAATGTGTACCCAAATAAATGTCAATTTGTTTTGTGGTAACGGTCAAACAACTAAGTGCCAATCTCGCCCTACTTGCTATTTCATCCCTAGGAGCGCAGAGAGCGCTATACCACAGATTTGTAATCCCAAAATGGTGAGAGTTACACAAACCTTACAGAGATAGAGGAGTCAAAAGGAGCCAGAGCAAGTTGGAGAAAAACGTCGCACATGAGAACTTTCCAACAGATGACTTTCAACCACGTGACCAAAACTGATGACGTAATCAGCCTCCGCCATTTTGGTGGGTTACTGATTTGACAAATCACTGGAAGCATACGACTTCTTGTTGTCAGGCTGGGTGAACAAGCTTCAGACAAAGCAAGTTTGTGTTGACAAGTCAGTTGTTTTTGCTTGGGTAAGTAATAAAGATAATTCATCAGTATCTTTTTGTTTAGCTTTGTAGTTTAATGTTTATGACGCCACGCGTCTTTTATATATTCAATCTGGAGAAACTTTGAGGAGACAAAATGCATTTGAAGTTTTTTATTGAAAGGTAGTTTGGCGCCCTAGGCCCCGGTGCGGCGTTCAGTCAGCGAGGCTCCTGCGAGAGTGCGCGCACAATCCCCCGGGATCTAGGCACTGGTGGCGGCATTCGGGCAGCAGGAAGAGGCATGCTTGAGGCAGGGTGAGAAAGGGAGGAGGAGGGGAGGCGGTGGTTTGCAAGGCTTCGAGAAGGCCGTAAAGTGGGAGTTTCTCCGCTTTTAAGCGGCTGGCCTGGCCGGCATAGGTTTGTTGGAAATGGGCGTTTGCTGTGAGATAGGCTGGGGATGCGAGGCCGGCCTGGAAGGGGTGGCTTTGGCTGACGTCTTCCAGAGTTGAATTTCCGCGAGGCTGCATTTGTATCTACAAATGTTGTTTGCTGATTGTCGTTTTATTCTTTTCAAATCAACCATTACCAGAGAGCGCGAGAAACACCATTGAGAACTTGGTTTGTGGCTGAGAATGTTATGTTCGCGCACTGCAGCTGCATGGCTGGCCTTAATGAAGCTTGTTTGTAGGAGCACTGTTGTTTGCTGGAGAAGCCGCGGTGCGGAGGGTTCAGTTACCTGTACCCAGGAGAAGAGCAAGTGGGTCATGCCAACCTAATGTCAAACAAGTGCCCTATATTCCAATTTGCGAGATGGATTTCAAATCTGCAAAAACGAAACATAAACAAAAACGTAAACCAAACAAGTCCGGGAAACGATAAAAACTAAATTTGTCCTTGTCACGCTTGCTGAGAGCAAAATGAAACACGGCACAATTGTATGGCATTGCTTCAAAGACCTTAAATGACGCTTGAAAGACTCTAATGTGACATTAGAGAGTGTGACCATACTGCTACAGCAGCGTACTATACCACCAACATGGCCAACTTCCGAAAGCTGGGCTTTGTTTCACAGGATGCGACGTCACGTGAAAGTCATCTATTGGGATTCATTGAGTCTATAAACAGTTATGGATCTTTTATGACACTTAAGCTTGTCATTACAACAGTCTGCACATGTCACATTTTCCACTTGATGTTTTGGTTATCTGAAAGTCGAAGCTAATGTATCTATTAGCACTGAGACAGATGCACGTTGAAAATTTCTATTTGTGTCTTTTTGCCAACGATAAAATGTCTTCTGCCTTGACACAATCCCATCTTTTGTCATTTTCTTCACAGCCTACGATTCTAACCAGGCCAAGCAGGGTCCAATCTTTATAACTATATGTCATGATAGGTTTGTGCTGCTGCAAATCTACGGATACTAAGGAATTTCTATGAATTCTGCATTGTTGTGGGGAAGGACCTTGAAACGAATACTGATTGGAATGGAAACGCAATCAGTTAGAGTAAAGCCAGGAAGTGTAGGACTGAGGTAGGCCTGAAGCAGGACTTGGTGGAAACAAGACCATAGTTTTAATCCTGATGACAAACCAAATGTGTCCATATCTCCCATCTCTAGCCAGGGCAGGCTCAGATTGACTGCTGCTTTTTGTTCCAATGACAGCTCCGTCAGCCCTGTGCGCACTCCTGTGTCCGTCTTTCAATGCCCCTGTAGTGCACACCGCTCGCTGGGATCAAGTTGCTTCTCACGATCACCTGATCTGATTCGGAAAGCAACCTGACCCAATAAGCACGACACTCTCCCCCCTCCCTGCCCCTCCATCCCCGCTTGCGAGCTCCGGAGCTGGGATAGATGAGGGGGTCATGGGAGCTCCTTCGGGCCAGGAACTACCTTTTTCCCTGTAACCGGATTCAGGGCAAAAACGCAATTAGCAAATCGCAAAGACTGCAAATAGTTCCGTGCAACAAAGAGCAATCAAAGATAAACAAAAAGTGATGTTGATTTGCTAACTTTTGAAGATTTTTTACACGGAAGAATTCAATTAAAATCTATTTATTTTTTGTTAGGCCCTAAATCACAACTGTAGTTATCTTGGAGGACTTTGCAAGCTGCCAGAGAGACACATAAACATACAGAGTCCAGAACAATCAAGTATCTTTCGTCTTGTCTCACCTTTTTAATTATTTATATACTCTTAAACTGTGGAACCCAAGTCTGATTAATCAATCAATCAATCAAAGTTTATTTGTAGAGCGCCTTTCATACACATGGCAACACAAAGCGCTTCACAGTCCACATCACAAATCATCACATAAAACAAACACCAGAATCACAATTAAAACATTAAAATCACACAAAAGATTAAAACACAATTAAAACATTAAAATCACACAAAAGAATAAAACCATTAAAACTTTCAAAATTACACAAGAAATTTAAAAAAATAAATAAATGACAGCAGTGCATTAAAAATGGAGATAAAATCCTTCAGTTGTATGCACAGGCAAACAGAACAGTCTTTAACCTGGATTTGAACATTGACAGAGTAGACGCCTCCCTCACATTTTCAGGGAGATTGTTCCAGATCTTAGCTGCATGGATCTGAAACGCAGCCTCCCCATGTTTGGTTCTCACTCTGGGCACCAGCAGGAGGCCAGTCCCTGTGCTCCTCAGAGTCCGGGCTGGTTCATATGACACCAACATGTCACTAATGTATTCTGGTGCAAGGCCATGGAGAGACTTGTACACAAGCAGAGCCGTTTTAAAATCTATTCTTTGAGCCACAGGAAGCCAGTGCAAAGACCTGAGGACCGGACTAATATGGTCATACTTCCTGGTTCCTGTCAGGACTCTAGCTGCTGATTAAGGATGTTGTGAGAAAAAATACAAACTGCAAAAATCATGCGTTTGTTTAAAGTTACAAGTTTTGCAGTGAATATTTTATCTCCACAAGAAGAAAATAAAAAAGGCAACTACTGAAATGTGTGGTCGCTTTCATAGATTTGCTCTTTTGACTCTCTTATTGAACGCTCTGCCCCAAATTAACAAGAACACAATGCAAGTATATTTGTATAGCACAATTCATACACAAGACAAGACATTCAAATAAAAAAATCATGCGTTTATACTATTTATTGAAGATGCATTTTTATTCAAATCAAAATACAAAAAAAATCCAAACATGTATTATATGGGCTTAAAAAAATCAAACTAATACAAGAGAAAACTCAATATTAGTACATAAAACATAAATTTTATCTAAATTGTATCTAATTTATAAATACTGAAATTTATCTCAAAATGTCTTTTTAGCACACCCCAAATGGGAATGTTAATCAGAATTATCCCAATTATTATATTTGATATTTTTCAAATGATCCAATGTGGTTTTACTGCAAATGGCAAATAATCTGAATCTGAATCTTTTGGCAAACTTGTCCGATCCTTACCAGGGCCCTTCCTCTGTTTTCTCAGGGGAAGAAGGTACCGCCTGCCGCCCAACTGCTCAGGATGAAGCAGCCGGGGTCACACTCGGCCGTGAAGCGTGAGAAGAGGTTCAGTACGTCCACGTTTCCCCTGAGCGCCAACCGAGAGCTGCAAAAACTCACCCCAATTGTAGGTGAGTTGGCCCGTAAGCATTCCTAGACCCATCAGAGTACTTCTCATCTCACACCCACACAGCAGAGGCAAGGTGAGTAGAGTGTCTTGCTCAAAGGACACAAGAGAGCACTGAGGAGGTGGATTTTCACACATTACTTTGACTGCCTATCCTAGTACTACTCTATAATGAGAATATATTGGATAATTCCACAGTACCACAATAGCCACACCGTTACTTCTATCAATAGAGCCCTGCTGCCTTTTATCTGGATGGATTTTGTTGCTTTCTAAAGAACGTCTTGAATTACTTTCTAACAGATTTTTTAGTATTGAAGCTCGGGTAGCACATGTATTTTTCCCATGAATAATACAGATTGTTTGACCCAAAGTGCATTGGAAAAGTAAAATTTTGTAAACACTATCAAACCACTACAGGCCATTACAAACTTTCTTCAATGGTATTGCATTCTTGTATGTTAAGAATAATAAAAGACCCATGTGAATCAATATTTGACACTTTGGGCTGGGAGTTGATTGGCTCAGTGGGGGGAGTCCTCTCTTTTTCACTTTTCTGTCTGAAAAAGCTGATCTAACAACAAGGCCAAATATACATGTCGTTCGATAGATTTTGTTGTGTTTGGAAAGTTAGGTGCCCCAGCTTTAGCATAATGAAAGTGGACCTATAACATAGCACAGATCAATCACAGTTTAGTGTCACCTCATCCAAACTAAAAACAAAAGTTTTGAAAGGCCTGTTGACCTCTCCCTCTGTGCATGTTAGAACTATGAGAATGAAGGGAGTGGTATAAAGTATTCATTGGCTCAGTGGATCCTCAGAAGCACCTTTTTAACCTTGAGGTTGGACTGTGTGCATTATTGATAGAGACAGGCCATCAGCAGTATCTGGAATGCAAATGATGTACTATCAGCTGCATCTCCAGCCAGCGCGCACAACGCAGCACGTTTCCGGGGCTTTGTGATTTGAGCTGGGGTCATTTTGTCTGCTAACTGAGGGCGGGAGAACATACTTGTGGTATGGGATAGAGGCGAGTTTACTTTTCACGGGTTTTGACCATCTAATTCAGGGGTGTCAAACAAATTTTTGTCGGGGGCCAATCGCGCATGTTCTCCCACTTGAAAATAAGAGGGAGGCCTGTAATTTTCATCATAGGTATACCTCAACTATGAGGAAAAATCCATAAAATCACAAAAAAATTGTAGACCTGCACCAGGCTGGGAAGACTGAATCTGCAATCGGTGAGCCGCTTGATGTGAAGATTTTCACTGTTCGAGCAATTATTATAAAATGGAAGACAAGACCACTGATTATCTCCCTCGATCTGGGGATCCACACAAGATCTCACCCCGTGGGGTCAAAATGATCACATGAACGGTGAGCAAAATTCCCAGAACCACACTGGGGGACCTAGTGAATAACCTGCAAAGAGCTGGGACGAATGTAACAAAGGCTATCATCAGTGACACCTTATGCTGCCAGGGACTCAAATCCTGCAGTGCCAGACGTGTCCCCTGCTTGAGCCAGTACATGTCCAGTCCCATCTGAAGTTTGCTAGATTTGGATTGCAATGGGATGATCCAGAAGAGAATTGGGAGAATGTCATATGGCCAGATGAAACCAAAATAGAACTTTTTGGTTATATACTGAAACTCATTGTGTTTGGGGAAGAAAGAATGCTGAGTTGCATCCAAAGAACACCATACCTACTGTGAAGCATGGGGGTGGAAACATCATGTTTTTCTTTTTTTCCGCAAAAGGACCAAAATAACTGATCTGTGTAAAGGAAAGAATGAATGGGGCCATGTATTGTGAGATTTTGAATGAAAACCTCCTTCTACCAGCAAGAGCATTGAAGATGAAACCAGGCTGGGTCTTTCTCCAGATCTCAACCCCATAGAAAATATTTGGAAGGAGTTGAAAGACTTTGAAAAAATTTAAGAAACAAAGGGGGAGAGGTCACGGCTGAAGGCAGATGTAGCTGCTTTTGTCTTCTTCTTGGACTTTCTCGAAGCACATATATACGTGTATTGGACTGTGAGCTGGAGTTTGAACAGTGGCATCAATCTTTTATAGCTTCTTTGTTTACACACGGCATTACAGACAGGATCTGGCCTAAGTGCTTTCCTGTAAGCCACACCGTGTGCTCTTTCTTGTCTTCAGGTTCATGACAACAGCGCTGTCATGCACATGTTGTTTGCCATCATCTCACCCTCATTAACCTCGTGTCGCACTCGTTATGGGACCTGACCCTGGTATTGTCCTTTCTATAGTCATAAACACTTCATTGAGCTTTAAAGGAGGGCTTTATTGTCTTGACATTTTGAGCCATAATCATAATAATAATTTTATTTAATTTCATTTTCATCCCTTTAATTTTCTTTCATCATGATACTGTAACACTAATCTCAATGTTTAACTTTACTCCAAGCATAACCAAACAAGTGTCTGTCCGTGCAAGGCAAGTTTATTTGTATAGCTCAGTTCATACACAAGGCACAAGACTCAAAGTGCAAAACCAGATAGAAACAATTATACAAGACATAAATAACCACAGTCCACCACAAGAAAAACGTAGAAACAGGTCCCACATTTTCAGGAAGACTGTCCCAGGCATTGTCCATTCTATCTGAGGCTCCAGTGTTCAGACAGGACTGCATTATCTTGTCATTTTGAACTATCATCTTGCCATTTACAGATTTGTATTTACCAGAGGTCTACCTGTGGACATTTTCTGAATAGCTACTTGATATCTAGGAAGATGTTTGTACCAATGTCATATTAAAAATGTAGTGAGTACACAAATAATTGATGTACCTCACTAGCTCACTGTCAATCTTTGTTCTCAACGTCAATCACACGCCCCTTTTTGTTTATCACTTTGTTTATCTTACTGGTTATGAGCTTTGTGAGCCAAAAATGACTTTGGAGAAACAGACAATACAGCACAAGGCCAAAACAACACTAAAGTGATCCTTTTGTTTAGAGAGGCGGGGCTTCCTGCAAAATTGTTCTAAAAACATGTAAAAAAGTAAAACACAGGTGGAGAAAATGAACACTGCCCTCTGGTGGCAAAAACGTGATAAGCTGGAGGAAGTCTGCATGGAAAATGTAGTCTTCACTTAGCAATTCTAGCTGTTTAAAATAAAAGTAAGTAAGTAATCTTTATTTATATAGTGCCTTTCACAGACCAGAGTCACAAGGTGCTTTTAAAATGATTTCATTTTTGTTGTTGTCTCTCACTCCACACAGAGATGCGAGCGGGATCTCCACATAGAAGGCACATGCCAGACCTAGTGTACATGTTGTTAGTGGTATAGGAAACCAGAGCACCCGGAGGAAACCTACGCAGACCCGGGGAGAAACATGCAAACTCCACATAGAAAGCCTTGAAAAAGAAGTGCTAACCACTGCGCCCCTGTGGCAATATGTTAAAAAATAGTTTAAAAAAATTGTCAATATAGACCAATCAAATCGCAAAAAATATTACATCTAATTACACCATATAACAAATCTTAAAACAGCTACAGCCCTGGCTACATTTTCTGTATTTTCACATTGACAAATTGAGTACAGTTTTTACAATTACATGCTCCAACTTATGGTTATAGAAAATTAGAAAAACAAGTATCTCGAGACGACAGGCATGAAAATAAAGCACAATATGCAGCCTATACATACATAAGCTTTCTCTTCTCCTGTTCATCTCTCCATTCGATCACATGTGTCTATAAAGCTGTTGTTCACTTAATGTACATGCTGAAAATAGTCCTGAGTGGATGGATGCTGGTGGGGGAGTCACAGTAAACAACTGGGTGGAGTTCATATCTGACAATCTCATATATGTCAGAGGTGAAGTACTGAGAGACTTTTTGGATGCTTGAGGTCATATGATATTATTACTGTGGTACGCATGACAAACTTAATTTAAACAGGATATTGCTTAAGCTTTGATTTGATAAAGCTGAATGTCATGCATCTGTGCAATCATTTTAAATAATGTCAGAATTTGCAATATGGGACCACATGTGTCCACTGTCACTTTACTTTGACTTTCAACCCTAATATTCTGGCACTAGAGTGTTGCAGGTTAGAGTATGAAGTATAGAGTTGTGCTATACTGTTATGGTGAATAATAATAATAATAGTGGATTTTATAAAAAAGTAACACATATCAATAAACACCAAAAACACCACAAAAAGTAACCAAACAAGGAGCGAGGACAAGAACTAAGCTGACGTGGGGAAACAGGAAGTACGACTAAAGAAGACACAGACACACAGTACAACTAAAGAAGACACAGACACACAAATTGCAAAATAAAACAGGAATTAACTTAAAACATAACAAATATTCTCTTATCTTGTGTTGTGTGCGTCGTTTATCCTTCTGTTCTTTAACTTATGATGCAATTTCCTCACTGCGGGACGATTACATTTTTAGTTTTCTCCTCTCAAAGCTCTAGCATTGTCTCTATTCTCTTATGTTCGAGATGCCATTGCTCAAATGTTCCCTATTCATACAGAAACGTTTCACACATGTATTTAGTTGTTATTAAAGTGAATGTCAGTTACTTTTCAAACTGTGAAGAGAGAGTGAAACTTACAGAAGACAAATCTTTCGTCATAGCTAGTGTTAAACGATTCTCTCCAGTAAATCTCACTGGTATAGTTAGATCTAGTTATGCCAAAGTAATTATCAGGGTTCTCTCAGGATTTTTGTGTGTCAGCCAGCCCCACACCCAACCTTCCTCTCAACCAATAAAAAACGTGTGTGGACGTGTTCCTTGGATAATATAGTTTGCCTTAAATAATGATTCTGCAAATTTTGATTTAACGATTGTCACTCCCACAACTGCATACCTCAACCATGCCGATACTGTTTGACATGTTTATTTAGTTTTGTTCTTGCCAAGTTAACTAGACAAATATAAACACACAGGTCCAGGATAGAAACTAAAAGTACAAGTTTGACAAAGGCTGTTTATTGAGGACTTTCTCTGGTGAGCGAGGCCCAGTCTGTGCTGTGATGATGCGGACAGGAAGTGCTCCTTACTGGGCTGATAAATGTCTTGTTTTGGCTCTGTGGGGCAGGTCTACATAATTAATGATTGTGGTGAAACATTTAGTGATGTGGTGGAGTTACAGAAGCCAGTGTGGGCAGTTACAGGGGAGGCTCTGCTGCCCTCTTGTGGATAAACAGGGAGAGGAAGTTTTATTTTTTTAAAGTAGGCCCATAGTTCTGTAGGAGATTATGTAGTATGGCACTCATTTGGAGCCTTTGGATTTTAACCTCCGTGTTATTATTATCTCTGTTATGTGTTATTGTTCTCTTATGTGATTGTTTTTGTTAAGAGCGCCAATGTGAGATTTGATCTAGATTTGGCTCTGAAAGTGATGCAGCTTGAGGACATTCTCTGACAAAGACAAAACTGTTTTATCTTACTAAAGTCTGTTTTTGCCGATGATTCCAAACCTTTGTAACCCCTTGTGCAGACAGGTCACAAGTAACCCGTGCAGTTTAGGGATTAAAGGCACCACAGGGGTCAAACTTATTTAGGTCACCATAAATCTTATTTAGTTTTCCAAGTTCTTTTATGTTTTACCATTATACCAAGTCTCATAACTTTATTTTAATTTGCTTTAGCTCATCTTTTGCATCTGCTTATTTTAATGTATGTAGCTTAAGCAGACTTGTTCTTGTAGACAGATAGACAATGCAATAATATTATTCATTCCATAATGTGATTATGAATATATATACGGACCTTGTTTTGAAGTTTTGAAAATCATTTCATATACCATTTGTGATACCGGCTTGTACCCGTAGGGGTTTGCGTACCCCTGCGTAGCCCTAGGAGGAAACCACATCTTGAAAAAACACATTTCAGCTCTTGATTAACCTTAGTCATTACAGGGGAAACTCAGAATGATTAGCTTTTGCCTGAAGCTCCCACTGAAAGATCTCAGCTCCTGTGGACTCACCAACTGCAGGAGGTGAGTCCATTTTCTTCCCCTGACCCAGAAATGGATTAAGGGGAAGAAAATGGATGGATGGATGGATGTTTAAAAGTATGTATTTCTGTAATTTTGAAAAAACAAAAAGGTTAACCAAATACAGCAAAATCACCTTAAATATTCCATTTAGTCAATACAATTTATTGGTGTGCATCCCTAAATTAACAACCGCAGTTGTCTCGGAGGACTGCGTTGTTGATTGGAGAATTAAGTTTGTCTTTTAAACTATTTTGTTATGTGACCTGTTTGGTGGAGATTTCTATTACTATTACTTTTGTAAAATGCACTAAAAACATAATATATTTGGTGAAACTCCTCAGTCGTCCTTGTGTATCTGTCCGGTGCGTGTCTCTGGTGGAGTGTGTGTGGGGGAGGCTCCGGTTGTTGTGGTGATGGAATGCAGCATTTTCACCCTGAACTTGGTCCTTGAATGGGGATGGAAACAAACATTAGAAATACACTGTATGTGGAGTCCTTGAAAAGAAGCACATGTCATAGTTCAGGTGTAAAGGATTCTATCAAACAAGAAACATGTAAAAAGTTATGTCAAACATCGGTAACAAGAATTATCCATAGACCACAGAAATCCCTCTCTGGGATTGCTTACAGACTGATGCCTTCCAATACAGTAGTAACCTATTGCACATATACAGAAATACTGATCAAAGAATCAAAGGAAAACATGTTGTTATTTGATCATGTAATTTAGGCTTCAATTTGAAGTATGATCAATGATTTTTTTATACAGATGATGAATGATATCATGGAAATCAATGTGAATGCATTCAGAACACAGAACTCTTATTGGACTCTGGTGCAGGGTCTCCTGGGACGGAACTTGACCAGAGTCTGGTGCTGGTTCTCCTGCGTCAGGGACAGGGCTGGTACTTAGGTCAGTTGTGGCATCTTTGCTCAGTTGACTGTTCTCCTGGGGTCAAAGCCTTGTGTCCTGTGATAAATCACATGCAAGAGGAGGGGCCCCGGGGCTCTGGGGCCGAGGGGCGTGAGTGGAACAGCCTCCGGCACTTTTAACACCCACAGCCTGATAACACACCACTTTACAGACGCCGCTTCGTTATATATTGAATTGAAGAAATTATGGCTTCAGTGAGCTCTCTGGACGCTCCATGGTCCAGTGTGTACTCCTGTATACTCTGAGTATAATCTGTGTATAATACTCTGTGTATACTTCAGCCAGCAAGAAGCTGAGTGTTTTAATTGGAGTCACTGGTATTTCGTCTGCAAGGCTAATTTTGTGGCTTCTTGCTCTCATTTCCTGTTTACTGTTATTTTTATTAGTAAAAATACTTAATTAAGTACACCTACTGCATACCAGGAAAGAGACAATAATATTGCGGTAACATATTAGTTAAATTATAAATTAAATCATTGTAAATTATAACAGAGAAGTTCAACTCTCTTGAGTAGAAAACAATTGAACTTCATCTGAATACTTTTTAAATGGTCTTGTTGAAATCATGAATGTATTAAGAGTACACTCAAGTCAGGAACTGACAAAGGAACATGCTCCAAGTCACAATTTGTATATATTAAAGCTGGGGTACCTGACTTTTTGTTTCATCCAGATTATTGTACATAATATATCCTGCATATATGTTTGCACATTTCTTTCTTTTGCACAATCTTGAGTATTTCTATTCATGCCAGATGTGAGATCAATAAAGTCTATCTTTATGCTGTGAGTGAGAGTGAACATTTTGTTAAAACAGCTATATCTGGTTTGAACTGGTTTGAATCTGTCCTCAGCGAATGCACTTCTCTCACACTTATGGTGTCCAGGGTCAGGACTAAACATATAGAGAGGCAGCATTTCAGATTTATGCGGCTAAAATCTGGAAAAGTCTTCCTGAAAATGAGAGACAGGCTTTTTCTCTGACAATGTTCAAATCCAAGTTAACAACAATTCTGTTTAGCTGTGCATAAAACTGAAGGATTACATCGCCTCTCTTTGTTATTTACTGTCACGGTTTAGGATTTCAAAGCCTTATATGATTTATTTTTTATCTCGTTTTGTGAAGCACTTTGAGTTTGTTTTTTGTTTGGTTTTTTTACAAATAATTCATAAACATGCCTTGTCTTGTCTTAGAGATTTTATGTCTACTTCTTTATTATGATAAAGTCAGAGATTGTATACTTAATTCTTGCTTCTTTATTAACATTAGAGATCTTCTTTTGTTTTAGTAGAAAGTTATTGTTCACTAATGTGCTGTGTGCTCCTCATTCCAACAACTGTTCTATAACGTGTGATGCAACACTGAAATTTCCCCACTGTGGGACAAATAAAGGATCTCTTCATCCTATCTTGCCTTGCGTTAATAGAACTCAGCAAAAAGTGACGCTCTTGCAAAGTCCTCCTCTGCTTTCTTATTGTTCTGCAGTTTTGAAAAAAAAAAAATCCTGGCTAATGAAATATCTCCACTTGATCCTGTCCAAGGTCTGCAGTCAGAGGAACCCTGCCAGCCAGAGCCCAGAAGAGGCAGACCCAGAGCTCCAAATTCCAGCAGCAAAGTCCCACCCCTCACTCCCTCTCCCTCAAATCCCCTTCCTCACCTCCTCCCATCCTCCTCTCCCATTGCCCCGGTGCTGTCCCCTCCCAGCCAATCAGCGCGCACCCAGCTCGCTGACGTCACAAACTAGCCTGTTCCCTCCAGCAGCCAGAGCGCTTCATTTTCTGCCTTGCTTTTGTGCTAAAATGGAGGCTTGCCTGTCGCCCTGAGTGGATCGCCTTCCTGGTTCGCGGATTTTGATGTTGACATGCAGTGATCTCGGAGACAGGATGCTTGTGGACACACCCAACACCAACGGGCCCTTTCAGCCAGTGGCGCTTATGCACTTCAGGGGTAAGAACCTTCCTGTATTGTCCCAGGGAAGCCATAGCTATATGTGTGTGTGTGTGTGTGTGTGTGTGCATGTGTATCTGTGTGTGTGTGTATGTATGTGTGTGTGCGTGCTTATTACTGGTTAGTTTCCATGCACGACAGCGCGTAATGGGGGTTGCAGCCGTGCCCGGGCATTGGACGGTGTGGTGACTGAGTGTGGAGGCTGTGTCTGCGCAGGGAAGCGGTAATGTAACTATGTAAAAATCTGGTTTTACTAGCTGGCTGCTGAGTGCCCATCCCCCCGCCAAGCTTGTGATGTCAAAGGAAGTGAGGTCATTGCACAGGGAAGGAGCTGCTCTGTGTTTTTGCAATCCGGATCTATTTGTTTACATGTGATTTGGGGTTCTTGTTTGTGACTAAAGGAAACGTAGGGCAGGTTTAGGCTATTATAGATCCATCAGTGTGGGTGTGGCTATGTTGTGGTGTTAAGATCAGATGGACTTTATTGATCTCACGCTGGAGAAATTTACATGTCACGTTTGGAATGGATAGAATCACTCAGATTGTGCAAAAGGCAGAGGTGTGCAAACATGTTAAAGGTTACAAAATTATAGTCTGTGCAGGATCTAGTTATGTATAATAAAAGAAATGAAAACAAGTTATGGCGTCTCTGTTGTAACTTAATCCTGGCATGTTCTAATCTGCATTATGTGTACGTCTTCTTCTTCAAGCACATTATAAACATGGTGATTGTTAATGACTGAGGAAATGGCTTTATACTTAATTACTCTTGCACTGTCTTACAAGTATATGTTTCTGTGAGTTTGCATTGTTTATTTGTATGCTTTGTTTCTTTATTAAGCTAAAGATAGATATGTTGTTATTTGAGTTTAGAGTTGTGTTATTCCTAGTGTTCACTTCTAGGAATCTGTAACTTGTGTGCTGTTTTACTTATATTTCCTTTTCCTAACATTTTATTTAACCAGGAACTTCTCGTTGAGATTCAAGTATCTAGTGTCCCGGCCAACAGCATTCACAATACAACCTCATATATTCCAATTAAAACATACAAGAAATAATACAATTATTAACAGCAGTCATTGATTACATTTCCAGTTGGACTGCACAATTTATAGAATTAACAATGTCTTTGCGATATTAGTGTGTGCGATATCCATATAAAAAAATTAACGATAATTTCATATGTTTATGTGTGTATTTCTTGTACGCGCACTGTGGTCAATCTGCTGTGACGAATCGGCGACCTAGCGCCGCTAAAAACCAATCGAAGAAACAAGTTATTTGGAAGTCATGCCAAAAATTAGTGGCTACATCGAAAGGGCAACACAACAAATCTCCAGAGCCGTACCTCCAGCTCAACCACAACTTGAGGTACTTTAGGTGTATTTACAATCTCAAACTCCACAGCCTCCGAACAAACGAAAGGCTAATGCGCAGTAATGATAGTTTTGCTTCTTTATCTCCTCATCAGAAAACTTTGAAGCAACACAAATCTTTAACTGCTGTCATCATTACACGATATAGAGCAAAGTGCACACTGGACACTCTCCGGACCGGAATAGGGTACGTGTGCTGGGGTTAGACCGTCGTCAGACAGGTTAGTTTTACCCTGCTGATGATGTGTTGTTGCAATAGTAATCCTGCGTGTTTGAAAATGGCATTCTTCTCTTGCAGTTCAGTGCAGATTGCATTTTTAGGTGAAAGACAAAAGTATTGCTATAAAATTGTTATCGACATACTAAACACCCATATCAAATATCGCTCTAATTTCCAATATTGTGCAGCCCTAATTTCCAGGTCTTTCAGAAGGATGCCAAAACGTTACATTGGTATGAGACACAATTGGAGTTAAATAGTTTTCAGCAATGTTTTAAAACCAGATTATACCATGCAGTCTTTACCTTTTATATAAAAAAACATGTTATCTTTTCCATACTTGGGCAAAATTAATCAGTGAGTCTTTTTGGTGATGTGACAGAGGCCAACACTGCATGCATGTGAAAACTCGTGATTGAAACAACTTTGTCTTGAAGTCTATGTGTGTGGGCGAAAAAGTAAAGTACAGTGTGATGCTTATGTATTGAAATCTAGTCATACTGAGAAATAATATAAATATATCCATGAGAAAGAGGCATTTTATTATTGAGACTTATTTTACAATTCCCCTTTTGCTTTCTGACTGAGAGGACTGTAAAGCTTTCAGATGGAAGAACATTGTGACAATATACTCTGGATATGGACAACCTGATAACGCTAATTGATTGACTGCGGAACCTTCCGCAGTCAACCATTGGTTTTGTATTTCTTTATTCCGTCATTTTTTTTGACACGTTTCACAGCTTTCACATTTTCAACAATTTCCACAAGTTATACATCAAAACGTTCCACATGTTTGGGAGATTATTGCTATTACTTTTGGGACTTCAGCGATTTCCGGTTTTTCCGCAATCGGACAAAAATCTGCATTGAGAATTCTGCAATGCATTTTAATAGGCCCATGCATTTTAATAGGACTTCAGCTCTTTCAGACATTTCTACAGTTTCAATGATTCAACAGTTTCAAGGATTCAACAGTTTCAAGGATTTCAGCAGTTTCAAGATTTCAAGAGTTTCAAGGACTTCAACAGTTTCAAGGACTTCAGCAGTTTCAAGGACTTCAGCAGTTTCAAGACTTCAACAGTTTCAAGGACTTCAGTGTAATTATGCAACCTAATAGGGATTTTTCCATGTAAACCAGTATAATGCAACTTAATAGGGTTTTTTCATGTAAACCAGTATAATGCAACTTAATAGGGTTTTTTTCATGTAAACCAGTATAATGCAACTTAATGGGGATTTTTCCATGTAAACCAGTATAATGCAACTTAATAGGGGTTTTTACATGTAAACCAGTATAATGCAACTTAATAGGGTTTTTTCCATGTAAACCAGTATAATGCAACTTAATAGGGATTTTTCCATGTAAACCAGTACAATGCAACTTAATAGGGATTTTTTCATGTAAACCAGTATAATGCAACTTAATAGGGTTTTTTTCATGTAAACCAGTATAATGCAACTTAATGGGGATTTTTCCATGTAAACCAGTATAATGCAACTTAATAGGGATTTTTCCATGTAAACCAGTATAATGCAACTTAATAGGGTTTTTTTCATGTAATCCAGTATAATGCAACTTAATGGGGATTTTTCCATGTAAACCAGTATTATGCAACTTAATAGGGATTTTTCCATGTAAACCAGTATAATGCAACTTAATAGGGATTTTTCCATGTAAACCAGTACAATGCAACTTAATAGGGATTTTTCCATGTAAACCAGTATAATGCAACTTAATAGGGTTTTTTTCATGTAAACCAGTATAATGCAACTTAATGGGGATTTTTCCATGTAAACCAGTATTATGCAACTTAATAGGGATTTTTCCATGTAAACCAGTATAATGCAACTTAATAGGTTTTTTTTCATGTAAACCAGTATAATGCAACTTAATAGGGTTTTTACATGTAAACCAGTATAATGGAACTTAATAGGGGTTTTTACATGTAAACCAGTATAATGTAACCTAATAGGGGTTTTTACATGTAAACCAGTATAAAGCAACTTAATAGGGATTTGTACATGTAAACCAGTATAATGCAACTTAATAGGGATTTTTCCATGTAAACCAGTACAATGCAACTTAATAGGGATTTTTCCATGTAAACCAGTATAATGCAACTTAATAGGGTTTTTTTCATGTAAACCAGTATAATGCAACTTAATGGGGATTTTTCCATGTAAACCAGTATTATGCAACTTAATAGGGATTTTTCCATGTAAACCAGTATAATGCAACTTAATAGGTTTTTTTTCATGTAAACCAGTATAATGCAACTTAATAGGGTTTTTACATGTAAACCAGTATAATGGAACTTAATAGGGGTTTTTACATGTAAACCAGTATAATGTAACCTAATAGGGGTTTTTACATGTAAACCAGTATAAAGCAACTTAATAGGGATTTGTACATGTAAACCAGTATAATGCAACCTAATAGGGATTTTTCCATGTTAACCAGTATAATGCAACCTAATAGGGATTTTTCCATGTAAACCAGTATAATGCAACCTAATAGGTTGCATTATACCACCAGACCAAGACCCAAACGAAGACTCAGACCACCACCAGATAATGACCACAGACCAGGTTTCCTTAGTTACAGGAACCAAATTGTTTCAGCGGTGAGGGGATTTTTCAGTTTCAAGGACACTTTCAATACATTCAGTAGTTTCAAGGATTTCAACTGTTTAAGAATTTAACCAGTTTCAAGGATATCAGGAGGTTCAAGGATTTCAGGAGTTTCCACACTTTCAACAGTTTCCAGGTTTAAAAAAGTTTCAAGGATTTCAGGAGTTTCAATGTTTCAACAGTTTCAAGGATTTCAGGAGTTTAAAGGTTTCAACAATTTCAAGGACTTCAGGAGTTTCAAATATCTATCAAGTATTTTAACAGTTTCAAGGCCTTTTAAAGGATTTCAAGGATTTTTTTTAGCAGATTTCCACATTAGATCTGTTCCGCAGTCAATCGCAATGGCTTCAGCCATTGCAAGTTTCTAGTGTATATTTGCCGTTGGACTGGCCAGGGAATGGGAACGGGGTTTTATGGGTGACATTGTTTTTGCAAAGTACAGCAAATTCAACATGGATTCAGCAGGTCTGTGGTATCAATACTGTAATTCCAAATGTAGAATTTATTCAAACCCCCTTTGCTAGATGAGGGTTAGGATGTGATGAATAATCTTGATGGACAATAAAT